ATCCGCGGGATGCGTGGCAGAAAGGGAATTACAAGGCCCTCGTGTCGAGGGGCCCAGTGTATTCTTCAGGTCCTTGGCCCAGCTATTATCTCGTTAATTTTATCCTCTTTTGTCAATACAGTTCATTTCCAAAGGCCGTCCTTTCCATTAGGGTAACAATTCCACGGAGGGCTGGCATCCCGCCACCGATGAAAAGCGATGGGCGTTCGGCTCCGTGCCCTCACTGGTGGCTTTTCCCTGCCACCACCAGCTTGGATGTCACTAAGAGGGAGGGGGACACACACACAGCTGGCTGTGTTGGGGCCACACAAGCACTTGGGAGCAACAGCTTGGATTCAGAGGGAAGTAATAGTTCCTGCAAGTGAAGGTTGGGAAGTTGAGTTCCCTCCCTGCTCTTCTGTGTGGGCACAGTTTTTCCATAAAAACATAATTTCCCTTAAATTTTAAAACTCTTAAGGCTCCTATAATATAATAAATATCCTGCCTAATATAATAAATAATAAATACAATAAATATTCTAATAAATATTACTTTATATATAAAAAAGGATGAGGGGGCATTACTGCTGGGACATTTGCACCGCCCAGAAGTTGGAAATGGAGGTAGACAAGCCTCAAACTGAGCTCCTGGCTGGGACTCCCCATCCCTGGAAGTGTTCAAGGCCAGGTTGAATGGAGCCTGGAGTGACCTGTTCTCCTGCAAGGTGGTCCTGCCCATGGGGGTGGATTGGAACTTGTTGATTTTAAAAATGCCTTTCAACCCAGATAATTCTGTGATGATTCCATGGCTTCAGTCCGGTGGCCCTTGGGGCTTTGGCAGCCTGAGCAGATGTTCTGCTGAAGCTTTGCTTGGAGACCACCCAGAGGTCACTTGTCTCCCTCAAAAATACAAAAGCTCTAAATTAGAGGAGGTTCTGCCCCACTCCCTTTGGGGAATGAGATGAGTTTTGATGTTGTTTGTCAAAACCTTTGGAAAAATCATAGATTGGTGGAATGAATTGGAAGAAACCTTAAAAATCATCGTGTTCCAACTCCCTGCCTCAATGGGGATGTTCTGATACCACGCCTGCATTTGGAGGCTCCCTCAGTTTGGAGCTTGGCCATCCCTAAGGAATTCTAAAGAAGAGAGAGGTGATCTGAGAGCAGGAAGGCAGGAAAATGAATATCCTGAGGATCTTGGGGGATTCAACCAATTGGGTCTTAAACTGGTACTTAAACCAGTGAGTCAGGCTTAAGTGGTGTGAGCAGCCCTTGGGGCTGTGCAGGATTTGGGATGTGTTGGGTTTTATTAACATTACAGCCAAAACAGGTTTCACTTAATGTATTATCTCATGTATGTGTGTCTATGTGATAATATAATGTATTAGGGCATACTTGTGAATTTATATTCAATAGATATTGAATGGATCTCTACAGATAGAGAATATTTTTAATACATATGAATATATCTACATATAATATATAGATATAATTATATAGATACAATATCTATTTAAATACATAAAATATCTATTTAAATATGTTTATCCTATATGTATATATATGTCTGCATATACTATATATCTATATCTATATCTATCTATATCTTTGTCTATATATAGTGTATGTATGTATGTATGTATGTATCTATCTATCTATCTATCTATCTATCTATCATCTATCATCTGTAGATCTGTATGTCTGTATATCCATGCCCTGATTGCTTCCACAGCTGTGCCACATTCCAACCTTTCCCGACAAACCAGAGTGGGGAATGTTGGATGAACCCCTGACTTCTTCCCTCCCCTCTACTAGACTTAAGGAAAATATGAAATATGTAATATATAGAAAACAATATCTATATATTATATGTATTACCTATATATTAGTGAATATATGTAATTAAATATATGTTCTATATATTCAATAATATATAAGTAATATAAAGTGCTAAGAATAAAAATAGTATCTGGACCTCATATAAATTATCTCTAAGTAATAATAAATATATATATTGAACATATCTAGATGTTATTGAACATATATAATTCAATATATGCATTCAGTGCATATATTTAATAATATCTAGAGATAATTGATGGATACAGGAGGCCCAGAGAATACAGGTGATAATATATAGATTTATGTATGAAAGTATCAATATTTGTTATTCTATATACCATATAGATCTTGTATTTCAATACATACACTCAGGGTATATATATATTCAATTATGTGTGTGTCTATATGGAAATAGATGTGTGTGGGTATCTCTATGTATTACCCAGAGATAACATATAGGGAATATATATGGAATTACAGAAGTCCTTAAAGGGACTGATTCAGCTGGGAAAAAGAAACCCCAAACCCACTGGCACTACAGCCCCTGTGAGTGGAGGAATGGAGCATCCTGGGGTCCTCCCAGGGATGTGTCTGTGGGAGGAAGAGGAGATGGATGGAGCTGGGATGGGTCTTGTCACAACCATGGTGTCGTTTTGCAATACCTTCATTAGAATCCTGGAACGGGTTGGATTGGAAGGCTAAAGCTCATCCAGTTCCATGGAAGCCATGGGGAGGGACACCTTCCACTATCCCAGGTTGCTCCAAGCCCTGTCCAACTTGTCCTTGGACACTTCCAGGGATGGGGCAGCTGCAGCTTCTCCGGGAACTCCATTCCAGCACCTCACCAACCTCCCTGGGAAGAATTCTTTCCCAGTATCTTACCTAATTCTGCCCTCTGGCAGTGGGAAGCCATTCCCTATGTCTTGTCACTCTATCTCTTTTCCACAGTCTCTCTCCAGCTCTCCTGGAGTCCCTTTAGGCACAGCAAGGTCTCCCTGGATCCTTCCCTTCTCCAGGTTGAACACCCCCAGCTCTCCCAGCCTGGCTCCAGAGCAGAGGGTCTCCTCTGAAATAGCTCCAACAGGTCCACATCCTTTTGCTGGGACCCCAGAGCTGGACACAGAACTCCAAATGGGATCTCAGAAAAGCAGAGTAGAGGGGGAGAATCATCTCCGTCACCCTCTCAGCTGTTGGATATTTGATATTATTTTTATTGCCCCTGATATGGCCACAAGACCTTTCTTCGGGTCCTGCAGCCAATGCTGGATGCATCCTTGGCCTTGCTGGAGTTTTCTGGGATGTGCTGGGTGATCCATGAGTGACCCAAGTGTCCCTCATGCCACTGCCACCTTCACCCACCAATGCCACTGCCGTGACTCCTTTGCAAATCACTGAGACTTGGTGCTCCTCTCTGGAGCAGTTCCTTGAGGAGGAAACCCTGGGGGAACTGAAATGAGGAATTTATTGAGTTCCCATCCCCTTCCACAAAAACCAGGCAGCAAATTTTCCGAGCTCGGTAGCCAGTGGCAACAGCCCTCCAGAATGAATAGGCTGTCACGCTCAGCATTAGGAAATGTAACTATTCCATTTTCCAGCTCTCTTTTTCTTTGGAGCACATGTTCATTTAAAGGAAATGCTCATCGGGGTTTGCATTCCGCTGATAGGATAGCGGGATCTTAATTTACGGATATTCTCCGGTAATGCGCGGTTTATATACGTTCTGCTAATAGCATTATGAGCATAGTTTGGGCTAATACAAAATTAGAGCTCTAATTTGCATAAACAAATTACTGTTTGGATTAGCGCTAAATGAGGAAGGCGACTGATATTGGAGGAGATTTGATTTGGCTGCAGTGGCTCTGTTTGGATAATGGGGGATGGATAGGAATGAGCTGGGAGGCTGCGTTGTGGGTTGGGAGGGAGGTGGGATGGTGCAGGAGGTATCAGGTCCTGGAGTGGGCAGGATTTTGGGTGACAGTGGAGTCTCTCTGGAACATGTGGCATGGTGGGGGTTGGCCTCTTTTCCCTGTCAACCAGCAACAGGATGAGAGGAAATGGCCTCAAGCTGTGCCAGAGGAGGTTCTGGTTGGACATCAGAAGGAATTTCTTCATGGAAAGGGTTGTTAAACATTGGGATGAGCTGTCCATAGAGTGGAATGTAGTCCCCATACCTACAGGTGCTCAAGGAATGCTTGGATATGACACTCAGTGCTCTGGTCTAATTGACAAAGTGATGATCAGTCACAGGTTGGACTTCATGGCCTTGAAGGTCTTTTCAGACCTAAAAGATTTTGGGATTCTGTGATATTTATCCTTCAGGTGTCACTTTGGGACTTACTGGGTCCTTCAGAATAATGTTATGGGCAGCAGTAACTGGATCGTGATTCCTGATCCATCTCCATCCCACTGCCTCAATACCGGCTTTGTGAATTTAGGGAGAGATGAGGAGGTGGGAACGGGTCCCCAGCCCCACCCACTAGACCCTGCTGAGATCCAGCATCAGCTCCAGGTGGCAGGGGGGGGATAGAAATGCTCTTGGGTAATTTGTCCCATGCAGGGATTGAGGAAAATCCTTCCAAGAACCAGATTTGGGGGCAGAATAAAAATACTAAAGTTGTGTATCTGATTCATAATAGGAATAACGATACCAAAAATACATGGAATGTTTTGGGTTGGAATGGACCTTAAAGACAGGGATGCCACCCAGTGGATCAGGTTGCTCAGAGTCCCATCCCACCTGTCTTTGATGTGCTTCCAGGGATGTCAAAGCTTGTAGAGCTCCATAAAACTTGGCTAAGCTCAGTGAAGGTCCCACCTTGCTGATTCTCTCATGGGATTGCATCCACATTTCCTTGTTTCTGCTGGGGCTGGAGATGCAAGCAAGGGTGGGAGAAGTTGGGGGAGAGTCCCTGAAGTTAATTTTCTTTGTGTCAGTCATGAGGAATCAGAGCTTTTCCTCTGTCAACAGCAAGAACATCCCTCCTTCTTCCATACATCTCCTCCATTCTAGTGGGAGCTGTCCTTGCCCTTGGAAATGGGGTTGGAATTAGATGATCTTGAAGGTCCCTTTGAACCCAAAGCATTCCGTGAGTCTCCGATCCCATGGTTTGCTCATGAAGCAACACCTCCTTGTGACATTTTCCCAAATTTGGACTGACCTTGACTTTATTTTTCCTGCAGATCCCCATTGTTAAACCAAACCCGACCCTCACTCCAAGGTGGCAAATCCCAGCTCGTCCAGCAGCACTGGAGGAACAAAGGCTTCCGCTGCATCGGCGGCGTCATGTACCGGGTGTCGGCCAACAAACTCTCCAAAACTTCCAGCAGCCCTGTCCGGGCCAGGGACCTGAGCACCAAAACTCCCATTAGAGCAGGTGAGCGGGAATTTGTCCCAGTTCATGTCCAAAATCCACTGAGTTCAGTTTTTAGTTGTTTATTCCCAGCCTGTGGGTTGTGACTCATCCTCCAGCCTCACAGAATTCCAGACGTGAAGGTGGTGGACATCCCATGGTGCCAAGTGCTGTTCTTGCTTTATAGTAGCTCTGAAGGGGAAATAGTGTTGGGGAAATTAAAAGTTCAGGAGAATTGAGGTTTTCTTAAGTCAGACTTAATTCAAGCTTGTGGAGACACACCATTAAACTTGGTTTTCATGGGCAAAGTCTTGGATAACTTCAAACCAGCACCACAAGGTTGAATGTGCTTGAGATGCTCATCAAATTACATTCAATATGGACCTAAAAATTTGGAAAGATCATTCTGCAGATAACTGTGGAATGATGCCCGATTTTGATGAATTCCCAGCTTTGCATTGTGGCTTTGATTAAATTTGTGTTTCAGCTCCTCCTGTGTTTGACACCTCAAGGTTAAACTTGGTTTTCATGGGCACAGTCTTGGATAATTTCAAACAGCACCACAAGGTTGAATGTGCTTGAGATGCTCATCAAATTACATTCAATATGGACCTAAAAATTTGGAAAGATCATTCTGCAGATAACTGTGGAATGATGCCCGATTTTGATGAATTCCCAGCTTTGCATTGTGGCTTTGATTAAATTTGTGTTTCAGCTCCTCCTGTGTTTGACACCTCAAGTGTGACTCTTAAAAAAGAGCAGATTTTAACTGTGTTTGAAGTATTTTCAAAATTTCTTCTTGGTCTCAAATATTTTTGCACCCTAACTGTTTATTGAGAATTTTTGGGAATAGTTAAACTGGGGAAGGTGGACCAGAGTTTGGAGACTCACAAAAAATTCCAGATTTTTCCAAGAGCTTTGCTACTGGTACTAGGATTTTCCAGTCTCTGGATCAGGATAATCAGCTGCACAAAACCAGCTTGAGAGTGCTTCAATGCCTCAAGCACTATCTTTGGGCATTGAAGATGTCACCAAAGGCAGAAAGTATCCTGCAGGAATGGAAGAAAGGGGCTGAAACCCAGGACACGGACAGGGATGTTATTGGATGGAGCAGGGGATGGATTTCAGGACAGAGTTGGACCACTAGGAAGAGTCCTGGGGAGAAGTGATGTCTGGAAGGACTGGAAAAGTGGAAAATGCGGAGCTGCCAAGCAAAGGAAGAATGTCTCTCCATGGCCAGGTGGAGCAGCCAAAAACCAAGGGGCTTAAACTGGAGGGAGAGCTTTCCAAGGACAAGGATGTTGAAATGCTGGACTCATTTGGCTCTAAAATCTCCCATTATTTTAAAGATTTTTTTTTTTAAGAACAGGCTTAATTAACTTCTTTTTGGGGAGGACATGGGTGGAAGAGGTCCTGCCTCCCAGCAAGAAGGTGAATTTTTTTATTTATCCAAGTGCAAGGAAGACTAAATTTGTCTGGAAATAGACAAATGAGCAAAGTCTCATTTGGACAACTCAGCAAAGGCTGATGGATTTGCCCTGTCCGTGAATATCCATCACTGGATTGGGACCAAGCGGAGAAACACCAACTTAGAGGCAAATTTCTGGAAAAGGGATGAAGCCAAAGGTATCACGGGAGGATTTCTGCAGATCCAGGCCTTGGAATTGCTTGTGGGGGGTTTCTGAGGGGATTTGGGGTGACAAGGTGTAGAAGAGATGTGATGCCCCCATTTTTCCTTTCTCACTGAAACCATGTCTTCTAGTTAGGTCTCATTCAGAAAATTGGGTTTAATTAGTCCCACTTAGGCAGGGAAGATCCCTTCCAGGGTTATTCCCTATAAAATACAATCCCATCTAATTATTATTTTGAAGGTGTTCCTTATTTTACTGTTGCCTCTTTTCCCCTGCCACACAGCACACGTTGGCTTTGTAACCACAAAACCCGAGGAACTGCTGTGGATCAGTATTTTCATGTCATCTTTCATCTCTCCCCATAATTCATCCTCCTTCCCAAGGATGGATTCCACAGATTCCTCTTGCCTTAGGATAACTGGGCCTGGCAGGGCGGAAGATTTGTGTGTTCTCATCGGCTGCGAACGTTTGCTCAACGCTCTGTGTTTTCAACACTTGACAAAGTTTATTTAAAAGATGGAAAAAAACGGCTTTTCCTTTCCCTCTCAGTGTCAGGCACCGTGTGTTTGGAACAGTGGAGAGATAGGAAATGCTCCTGACAGTTTAATAGCTTGGAGTTTACTTCCAGTGGGTTATAATTCTGCTCTTTCCCTGGATTTATAGGGTTGGGGTTTTATCTCTACAGTACAAAATCTGATGCCGGGCACTGGGGCTGATCCATCCGCACCATCGTAGCATTCCCAAGCGATTTATTGATGGATGCTGGTGATGAGTTAAGATTTGATCCTGGGGATGCACTTCCTGCATCCCTGTACTGTATTGGGATCAATCCTGAGGCTACCAGGAGCAATGGGAAGAGCAGTTTTCAGTGGCTCTTGTGGAATGGGTTTTGTTAGTGGGTTTTTTGTTAGTGCTGGAGAGACAAGGAGGGCACATGGCTTGGGGACAAGGAAAGTATCACTGCAATCCCAGGAAAAATTTTTGGAGGTGGTTTCCACATAAAAAACCTCCCTGGAGCAATCACAGCATCACCATGGCCTGTGCAGCTGCTGAGAACTTTGCTCTTTGCTCTCATCTCATGTGTGGCTCTGCTCCCAGAGGATTCCTGTGCATTCCACACTTATCTCAGAAAAACTGCAAATAAAATACAGAAATATTTTTTTTTTAAATTTTTTTTTTTTCGCCTTTCCAGCTGGATAGGGACCTTGCATGTGGCATAATTCATTGCTCGGGCAAGGATGGAGAAAAAAACCCAGAGCTTAAACACTCTCTGCTCATCCCTGTGCAAGACAAAGATGTGGAATCACATATGGAAAGGCTCCTTCCCTTTGGGATAACTGGTATTTCAGCACCCACGTATTTTTTCACTTTGCAGAAGTCTTGGAAAATCGGCAGTGGGATGGTGTGGAAAGCATTAATTAAACAAGCAGAATAATTAGGTTTCTCCACTCACAAGGAACCTTTCCTTCATTTCTTTCTCCAGCTGCTAAGGCATTTTCCAGACTCTTGAGGAATTTCCATGAAATCAGGGAGAGAAGCAAAAGGTCCTGGGCAATGTAGAGTTTCACAAAGAAATACAGAAGGGGAAATACAAGATTGAAAACAGCAGAAAGCAAATTAAGGTTTGACATTGTCCGGAAACCAGCCCTGACCCCAATCTCTGCACGAGCCGCTGCTGCTGCCAAGAAAGGAATTTCACTCTGTGAGCTGGGGCTGGCTCCAGCAGGGTTTTCCAAGTGTCCAGGCTATTTTTCCATGGGCAAATCCTCACCTGCATGATTTCTTCATGCTGAGGTTTTAGCTCTTGTTTGGAGAAAGGCTGGTGGCTCTGGGGACTCCAGAGGTGACAACTGGCCCCTTGAACAATGTGATTTTATTTATTGGGGTTTTCGAATTGTCTCCGTGACTGTAGATTCCAGAGCCTTGGAGATACCCGGGATTGTTGAGCTCCCAAAGGTGGAGGCTTAAGAGGAGTTTTAAGTCCTCCTGAGCTGAGGCATCTCCCACATATTGTGATGGTGGCTCTGATCCCAGAGAAACAAATTATTAATTAAAACATGGTTGAGTTCAGCCTTCCAGAACTGGGGGGAATTTCCCTGCATGCATCCGGATGCACTTCCTGTCTCCATCCTGCTGTGTAGCATCCCCTTCTACCTCGGTTTCCCTTCTCTGCTGCAAAGGTGATTAGCTGGGGAGATGGAAGGTCATGGAATTATGGAATAGTTTGGGTCAGAAAGGAGCTTAAAGACAATTTCATTCCAAGCCCCTGCCATGGGCACGGACACCTTCCACTATCCCAGGCTGATCCAAGCCCCACATCCAACCTGGCCTTGGATGCTTCCAGGGATGAGACAACCACAGCTTCTCTGGGCGACCTGTGCCAGGGCCTCATCACCTTCACAGGGAAGAATTCCTTCCCAATATCCCATCTATCCCTGCCCTCTGGCAGTGGGAAGCCATTCCCTGTGTCCTGGCACTCCATCCCTTGTCCCAAGCCCCTCTCCAGCTCTCCTAGGGCCCCTTTAGGCACTGGAAGGGGCTCTAAGTTCTCCCCAGAGCCTTCTCTGCTCCAGGCTGGACATTCCCAGCTCTCCCAGCCTGGCTTCAGAGCAGAGGGGCTCCAGTCCTTGGAGCATCTCTGGATTCCCTCCTCCACTGCATCAGGCAGGGGACAGGTGATGGATGCTCCTGAACATGATTTGGGCTGCTGTGGGAGAGCTCAGAGATCTCCACAGAGCTGGAAGAAAGTGCTCTCTGGCCTCTCTGTTTACCAACTAATTTTGGAAGTGCTGAATGTCACGGAAATGTGTTTCCCACTTTTTCAAGGATGATGAAATGCTCAGCACTGCCATTGGCCCAGTGCTTGTGGGAATGAGGCTCCTTCCTCTGAGCCACTCCTTTTTACAGAAGGAAAGGAAGGATTCAGGACTGGAATGTTCCTACCACCCATCATCTGTCTCTGCTTTTAATTTTAAGAGGAATTAGGGAGGATTTGCTCTGGTGTGCCAGGCTTTGTGTTTTCCCCATGTCCATGGAAACATCAAGCTTTTTGTTTGTCCATCATGGCCCTATCTTCTGTCTTCAACACACCTTGAGTGTGTTGGGATCATACTGGAGGGATACGGAAGACTTTGGTGGTGAAGAGACCAGCCCAATGCACCATAATGTGAGAGCAGGGAAATTTGGAATGTTGCTGTCCTCAGATTTCCACTGGTTTTGGTTTTGCTGGTGCCAGGATCCCTTTGTGCTCACTCCCTTTGAAGTGAATTCCTTGGGTTTGGTATTGCTCAGTCTCTTGCCTCTTGTTAAGCTCAATTCCTTGGGTTCTTCAGGATCAGTCCCTTATTTTGGGATTGCTTAATCCCTCAGACACTTCAATCTCAATCTCTTGGT